TTTTTTTTTTTTTAGTTTCTTTACTGACTTTTGGTTTGTTTGTTTGTTTGTTTTTTCTTATATTCTAATCAATAATGGTGTAATATGGTGCACCTTTAATCCACACTCGTGAGATTAAGGCCTGGAGATTGTATGTCAAGGCCATCTTGGGCTACACAGCAAGAAGTGGTATCAAACAAACAATTACACAGAAAGAAGCCTGTGCTGGCTGTTAACAGTTCCCTGACAGGAGCTCCTTTTGCTTCTTCCTGTTCTAGAAGTTGGCTGGGTAACTGTTGAATAACTCTACATTCATGATAATATTGGATAAAAATAGGGGTTTAGTCCTAGGTAAAGCTGATACATTCATAATTCACCCTAATTAGCCTGATCAGCCTATTTTGGTGGGTTAATTTTTTAACTCTTATTTACTATTAACCTTTAACTTTTTTGTCTCTATCAACATCAAGGTCATAATTATTGCAACTTAATGATAATTTCTGGTGAAGTGCTCGGGCTTTTGTGTTCTTTATGATTATTTTGAATATTTAAGGTTTTCTACATTTTTCATACCAATTTTACAATTATTTCCTAATCTTCCAAAAAAAGTATGTTAGGAGTTTGATTAAACTTAGGCATTATATCTTGCAGTTCAAGGACTAGATTATGTATTCCAATAATCTAGCTATTGAGTCATTTGGAGTTGTTTTGTTTCTTTTTTGGTTATATGTTACGATTGGGACATGCATGCACACACATACAGTGCATGTGTGAAGGTCAGAGAGAACTTGTGAGGCTTGAGTGTTGTTCCACTTTGTGGATTCAGGGATCAAACTCAGGTTCTCAGTCTTGACAGCAGGTGCCTGAACATGCTCAACCATCTTCAAGGCCCTCATTTGAATTTCTGTCTGTGGTCATGAGACTGATGCCTAGTTAAAAAAAAAAAAAGAATAGATCTGATGATGGTGAACACTGTCTTTCAATGTTTTATTATTAACTCACATTTTCAAATTTTAAATAAGTTTTCTTATGTATAACCCTTGGGTTGATAAAGTTTGTTTCCTAGTTTATTTGTTTTTATGTGTATGGGTGTTTTGCTTGCATGTGTTTCTGTGCACTGTGTTTATGCCAGTGTCCGACGGAGATGGAATAATGCATCAGATCGCCTGGGCCTGGAGATGCTTGTGAACCACTCTATGGGTGGGACCTGCTTCTCCCGCACCAGTTTGGTGAAGTTTTTATCTACTCTGGCTGGTTTATTTAGGCCACTGTTATATTCCTAAGTTTTTTTATGTAAGGAATTGTATTTAGTTTTAGTTTATTCATTCTTGTGCTTTAAAATCTTGTATTTTACTATTACTTAGTCTCCCCTTTCTTTTATAGGTAGCTATTGGTATAAACTTTTTTTTTTAACTTGTCTGTCTCTTATGCTATAGGACCTGACACTATATCCCATTCATCTGAGTTCTTAGCACATGTCATACACTCAGCAAAATATCAAATGGATCATAGAATGATTGGTTTTTATACACTGTCATGTTTATTAGAAATACTTACTATAGAATTTAACTATTCTAATTTTTTAAGATAGGTTTTCTCTGTGCAGCCTTGGCTATCCTGGACTCACTCTGTAGCTCAGGCCGGCCTCAAACACATAGAGACCTGCCTGCCTATGCCTCTGCCTCCCGAGTGCTGGGATTAAAGTCATGTGCCACTGTGCCTGGCTTGTTCTAAAACTTTTAAACTCAACAGCTATTTTAGTTCATGCTCATTTTGATAGCATTCCTCTATGATAAAACTAATGTGTTCCTCATTGCTATTTGTTAGAATTATTCATCTCTGCATGTTTGATGAACTTTAGCTAAAGACTTTGTATGGTTATCGTCATTTTTGGCTTAGCTTTTCCACATGTTATATATATTTCTTAAAGCAATTTGTCTCTGTTACAGTAGCTGCTATACTAAGATGGTATAAGAATTAAGTTAATAATTAATTCACATATAACTATCAGCTGTCAGATTTATCAGAAACATTTTATTGGTATTTAGAGTTTGTTTGTGAGTTGACAAGGCTTTGTAGCCTAAATTCTGATTCCAGAGTGCTGGAATTTCTGGCATTTCCCATCATACCCAGCTCAGGCTAGGTATTTTAATCTGAATTTTAAGTGCTTTATATTGTTTTCTCATAGAATGAAGGCAGAAGGTCTCTTAAAATTGATGATGATGAACCTCATACTTCTAAGAGAGATGAAGTCGATCGAGCTGTAATATTGTTTAAGCCAATGGTATCAGAGCCAATTCATATACACAGGAAATCACCACTTCCAAGGTCCAGAAAGGTGACTCCAGCTGAGGTGAGTATCAATGTAGTGTGTGTCTTGTATAGAGCAAGCTAACTATATATTAATTAAAACTGAAAAGAAAATACAGCTTTTATTGTACAGCTAGGAATCCTAACAGATTTTTGTTTATCAAATAAATGTTTTAAAAAAAAATAGATGCCATTAAAAACATGCCAAATAAACCAAGCCTAATAGCATCTACCTTTGAACTTAGCAGTCTGCAGGTAAAGACAGGAAGATCAGGAATTCAAAGTCACCCTTGGTTACTCTGTGAATATGAGGCAACTCTGGATTACATGAGACTCTGCAAAACAAATGTACAAACAAAACCCACAGAGATACGTGTTGAGATTAGAGCTTTGTGTCAGCTCTCATGATAGCATTGGCTGTGAATCTGGCACTGAAGCTTGTCTAAAAACTTGCTGAATGTACCCAGTTTTCTTTTGTCTTGTCACTTTAGCTGTTCTTCAGTAAATAACTTGATTAAAAGCTTAAGATATCAGCATTTCTAGAAGGAGATAAAAATTGCCTGAGATGAGTAAATGATGCCTGATACTAGTAACACTGTAGGTTTTATTAGCCTGATTGCAGAAATCTACATAGAAATTTGAAAGTTTGATAGTATAATTAAAATTTTAATGATGTGTTAAGATCTATATTAAGTTAAATAAATTGTACCCAGTTATGAAATAAGATTTAAATAGCATAAAAGTAGAGTTGAGTGAACAGAATGAAGCTTAGATTAATTTTTGGTGTCTATGCTTTAATCTTTGAGTTATCTATTTTCTGTTGATGGTTTTCTTAGCATTGCTTGAGGCCAATGCTTATAAGTTTTTTAAAATACCTTCATATAAACTAAGAAGTTAAGCTCCAAGAAAAAAACTAGGAACTCTTAGGTCAGCTACTCACTGATGTTTAAATGCAAGAAGTATATAGAATTAGATTTAACATTCTCAAGCATTTAATAATAATTTAAGGGACAAAAAAAAAATTTCCAGTTCTCCCATCTATAATAATGTAATTGTTTTTAAGTAATTTTTGAATAATTGACATCTGAAAGATTGGGGCAACTATTCATAAAGTAAATCACCTCAACTTTATAAAGTAAATTATATGTTAGTGTTGCTTTAATATGCTATCTGAACTTAATTATAGAATGTTAATTTATAAGAAGTTAAGAAGTTAACTGCTTGTGATCTTGTGATCTATTAAACTTAATGTGTTCTATTAAAACTTAATCATAAATTAAGAAATCTAAAATTTTGTCCAGGTATTAAATTTAAAAACAAAGAAACAAACCAGAAATTACCCAAACTAATAAAACCTAATCTACCTCTTGTATGAAGGCAGTGTTTTTGATATATTGATGAACAAGCAATTTTCAGCCAATCAAATTTTTCAGAATTTCACAGTTACACACTTTCCTCTGTCCTCCACAAGATCTGTGTGTTAACTAGCATGGCAAATAGAACCATTGCCGTGGTCAGCTCTTAAAACACAGCACACATTTGCAAACCTTTTTCTCCTGAATATTTAAATACTTGCTTTCAAGAGATTATTTCTATGTCATGCTAAACGTTTACTTTATAGTATAAATTATTCAAGTAAAAACAACTTTTTCCGGCATCTTCCACCTCCATGGATGTCAGAAGTTTATATTTCCAAAAGACAAACAGAGAAAGGCTGTTGTCTTCATTTTCTCCAAGTAGCTTTTACTCTGACCTCAATGAACCTAGACTGCACACTGAGTGCTGGCTGCAGGCTTTACCTCCTGCACCTCCTGGCTCTCCTGGAGGGCAAGCACACTCTCCGGGAGATAGTCTGTCCATCTGATCCACCTGAAGCTCGCAGCTGTGCCAACTCATTTCCTTCTCTCAGTTACACATCGAATTCATTTTTCCTCCTGTGCTCTGGACTGAAAGCACAATCAAAAATAATACAGAGTTTTTTTCATATCTAATATAAAATAAACCAAATGCCTTTTATATTTAAATATTTTCATGTAAAGAAGCACTATAATTTTTCTAATTTTAAGGCAGAAGGGATAACTAGTAAACAGTATAGCTTGAAAGTCTAAAGGTAATAAGATCTTCTATGATTGTTGATCCTATATGCTAATTCTATAATTTTTTAGGGATTTAAATATTTAGCTCACAAATGAGTATTTAATAATTTGCCTTTGAGGGATAAAATGATAAGCAAATGCAAATAAACTGTATTTTTTTTTCTTCCTGATCTTTTGGCTCTAATGTATCTAACTTTGCATGCTTTGCTTTTTTTTTTTTTTTTTTTTCCTTTTTTTTTTTTTTTTGGTAGAGAGCCCTCTCTTTTTTTTTTTTTTTTTTTTTTTTTTTGCCCTTTTTTTTTACTTTCAGGAAGAGAGCCCCCTGAGTGTGTCTAGCCCAGAGGGCACTGGCACCTGGCTGCATTATACCAGTGGTGTGGGTACTGGGCGTCGAAGACGCAGATCAGGGGAACAAATCACCTCTTCCCCTGTCTCCCCCAAATCATTGGCTTTCACATCCAGTATTTTTGGCTCATGGCAACAGGTTTTTAAACTTTACTTCATTAAACATTTTTCATTCCTGCATTCAGAGCAACAAACAGCTGTTTTTGAGGACATCTAATCCCTTGTCGTTTACATCAGAGGAAATCCTTCTGTCTTAAATTTGAGTGCACCTTAAAATAACTTCTGATATTGGTCAATATTTCATAGAAATAAAGCACTTACGTTACATTACATGCGTTTGGCATTTTTACTGGGAAGCTTTTAAATATACAGGAGATTTTTTTTTTTAATCCTAATGCTCCTGGATTTTAGCGTTGCTAATAAAAATAAATTAGAAAAGAAAGAAATCTTTCTTTGACTTCAGTTGTCCTATAAGCTTCAAAAACAACATAATTAACATACTTTTTTGGTAAGAATATGTAATACCCTCTCATTATTTGAAAAGCCTCATTCCACTTAGAATTTGCTATGAATGTGAAATTTTTGAAAATATCAAAAATTTTATGTGGCCTGGTCTTAATTGGCAGTATCTAATTTTGATTGGTCTCTCTATGATTCCCTTATATGGAAGTATGTAACTTAAGAGAAGAGTGCAATATGTTTTCCAAACAAAACAGCAGGCATGTATGAATTTGTAAAAGTGGTTTTTACTAAAGTAACTTCAGAAGGACTTTCTTTGATGACATTTAAAACTAAAACACTCTGGTTTTATAATGGAAGGTCTGCCATCACATGATTTTTCTGATAATTTCCGATATTTCCTCTTGGAAATGTAATGCACTTGATTATAGGAAAAAGGGATTATGGTATCCATTAAGGCTGATTATTTAAAGGTTACTCTGATAATGCCCATGCATGGATCAGAAATTGTATGGTGACTTCAACAGTGTCTGTCTGTCATTTCTTTCGTTTGTGGTTGTTTTTCCTCTAAATACAGGAGCTGTTTAAAAGTGGGCAATGGGCTTCTCTTAAGAGAAAGTGAAAATACATCAATCTGAACTGTTTCTTTTCATCTGTTGTGTCTCATTATGTATGCCTGCTTCGCACCACTTCATTGCAAGGACCTCATATGAATTGGACTCCCTTCACAAGGGGATCTTGCATGATCTTTCGTGTTTTAAGAATTTCTACTAATATTTATCATACAGCTTATTAACCTTTGTCTGTCTGGAACAGGCTGCATATAAAATATGGATCTTTGAATCCATTTTACTGGTATATTTCATTCTTTGTTTTCTCTGTGCAGGTTGTATCTGAAAATGCCAACTATCTTCGAACACCAAGGACACTTGTGGAACAGAAGCAGAACCCAACTGTAGGTATGTTGGTGGAAAAAGAATTGTATTGTATACCCTCTTTTATAGGCACACGTAGAAAACTTTACAGTGGTAAAATCATGACCAAATGCTATGCTTTATATTTATATGCTTTATATTTAGTGTGCACTAGTTCAGAACTGTTGGATTCTAAGTCTCAAAATACAAGATACAATTTTCGTACTTCAAGAAGTAGTATTTAGTTTTGTTGTTTAACCCTATGAATGACTACTGCATGGTGACTAGTTGCCAGTGTTGGCTTTTTGTTTGTCTGTTTGTTTTCCTCCCAGCCATTGTTTTGAAGGAGGGATGGATGCTATTGTTGTAATAAGGTGTCTACAGTATTGTCCTTGAACTTATGGAAACCCTCCACTTTCAGCCTTTCTAGTATTGGGATTATAGACACAAAATTTTCCAATTCTACTTAAATTTATTAAGAAAACTTTACTTCCAAGATTTGTAGTCATAAGAAGGCTAGGCTGAGAGTCAGTGGCAAAGCTCATGCTTAGCATATGTGTGGTTCTTTGTTCCATATTTGGTACTGTGAAATATCTGTTAGTCAATAAAAATAAAAAGATGCCATTGTATTAAAAATTTTTTTTTTACTCTTTTGTTTTAATCGAGACTAAGTCTCTCTATGTATTCCTGGCTGTTCTGAAACTTGCTATTTAGACTAGGCTTTGCCTCAAAACGTAGAGAAGTCTACCTGCCTCTGTAGCTAGGATTAAAAACACACCACCATACCCAGCTAGAGATGTGAAAGCTAATTCCATGCTATAGCAGTTTTAAATAGTGACAAAAGCTTGAAATAGTGGGGGCAGCACCTTGCAGCAGTCTTACTTTCTTGTGTGGATTTACCCAGAGCGCTGTCGTGGGATCCAGTTCTATGTGGATTGCTGACATGAAGCTCCTTACTTTGTACAATAATATTCACGTAAAATGAATTAATCATTTATTCCAAAGAAGAGTGCAAAAAAATATCAGCTGATAATTACCAGTAAGAATAGCAAGGAATGATGGCTTCAGATACAAATGAAAAAGAAAATAAAAAGAAAAATGAGCAAATAAAGCAAAAAGATTTTAAGTACCCTCTCTGGGTGAGCTAGATTTCCTGAGGATCAGCTCTTTCTGAAACAAAGTGAACCTCAGTGCAGTTCTGCTCTTGATTGTGCTGTAAACAACTGCTTCCTCAGGAATATTCAGAACAGCATTGTCGAATACCCCTCTCAACCCACTGACCTTATGCTCATTGACAGACAGCTGTGACTCAGTGGGAGATGATTTTCTGTAAATGGTTATCTAAATAGGCTTGACACAGAGTGTAATTAGATGTCATGATGTGCTATCATCCGCAGTGTCTGAACTGCATTGGTACCTATGGCCCTTTCTTTAATTACCTCCAGCTTGCCTTAAGAGCTCTTGATCTCTCTTTGGTATCTTTATGTGTACATACATGACTCCCTTTCATTGAATGATCATGTTATATATTTGTCAGGAATTATTTATACTTTTCTCAGTGGTGAACATTTTTAAGTGTGAAGACTTTTGCTATAAGCATTGATGTATACTGGCTGTGTTTTATTGATGACATATTTTCTCAAAGGTCTTCATTAAAAGTTTCCTTTGTGAAGTCTCTTGTTAAGTGACTGAAAAGGAATGGTTTTTGTCTATTTAATTAATAAATAGCTTTTTCATAAGAAAGTATGATAATTCTTAATTTAGGGGAATCAGGAAAGATTATTCATTTCTCAGGTGTATATTTAAAAATAACTAATATGACTTAAGTCTTGCTAAAAGGTGTATGTATCATATATATTACATAATACATGATATATATGATACATATGAACTCCTTTTACAGCTTTGCTATAAAACTATGTTTTGTTTCTAAGTTAATTTCTATGATGGTATTTTTAGTACTTTCAGCATGTACATGTTTGATTGTTATGTTGGCATATTATTTTTCAAATAAGGCATTTTATCCAGTACTAAATTATTCCAATTGTATTTGTGATGAATAGTGGTGACTATTATAAGCACTGAATTCAAATAGGTATCATTAGAATATTACAACCATATTGTGAATCTGTTCAAGGCACTGCCAAAGGCTGCCTGTGCATTGGTAAGAGCCATGTTGATTGCATGCTGCATGATTCCCAATGTGAATGGAAGAACACCCGTTGCTGTATGTATCTTCTTTAACTCCCATCAGGGTCTCACTGTGCGGGCCTGTTTAGCACCTCAGTGCTCGGGGGTTCTTCAAGTGCACCTAACCTACAGGATTATGCTCGTACTCATCGTAAAAAGCTGACCTCTTCTGGCTGCATAGATGGTATGTGCGCACACGCACACACAGATTCATACCTACACCCATGCATACACTCATGAGCAGGGTCTCTCAAATGTGGGTCTGAGCCCACAGATGATAGGAGAGCCCCAGCGTCCTCCCAAATGCCCAGTAGTGCTCTCTAGGAAGCATATCTGGGGTCCAGGTTCTTCCAGTCAACAGCAGTTAGATTTAGAGTCATGTACACTAAGTGGTTTGTTAAAATAGAGAATTTGAACTCCATTATGATTGTAGCTGAATGAGAATCTAGATTATAAAAAATAAATTTCTTTTAGCATTTGAGCTTTTGTCTACTGTTAACACTCATTTATTATTATGGACAAACTAACACAACAGTGAATGGAATGTTTTTTAGTGAGAGAAAATATATTGGTAGTCATTTTATAAAAATAAAATAGAATGGAAACATTTTAAGATTCCTGATAATAGGACTTTAGTTTTAATATTTTGATGTTCAGAATGTCTTTCAGACTCCTGAAAATTTGTTCGTTTTCAACTCTTTCAGGATCAGCGTTGTTGAAAACATTTGCTCTTATCTGTACCAATTTACTGTAGTTAATAAAACATGGATTTACTGGAATTGCCAGGTCATCTTGCTTTTCTTTCTTTCGTATATTTCATTAAACATTTTGCCTGTACCATCAAGCCAGTTTACTGCTTTTAACCGGTCTTTGGCTTTCTTTCATTGTCCCCTCTGCATGTCACCTAACTCTGACTTCCTCACATATTTGTTTTCCCCTCTGTTTTAAGTGTTCTTCTTTTGGCAGCTGTGAACTTCAGGTACCTGTTTTTCTCTTTCTCAGACGCCACACGCGGTTCTGCTGTTAAAAGGTTTTCTATCTCATTTGCTCGACACCCAACCAATGGTACGTTTGCTTTTTATTTTAAAAGATACTCCCTGCTTCATCCCTTTTTAATTTTTTTCTTCTATTCAATGTGGGATACACAGTATCATTTATTTATCAATATTTCATTTTAGTTGGCATACAATTCCAACTTATTTATCAAACCACTGATACTGTCTTCTCCCTTTTCTGCTGTAATTTCCACAATGATTGAACATTACTTATCAATTTGTCTAATGACCACAATAATGATGAATTTTAATTCTAAACACCTGAAAATTCTGATTCCTTACGTGATCAGTTTATGCAATTTTTTTAAACTACAATTACTATTTCTTAATTTGTTCTTAATTCTTAACACTTAATTTTTTTCCTAATTATTTTTCTGATCACATTGCTTTATTGAGATACAACAAAAATGCAAAACACCCTAATGCCACAGAACCCATTGAGACATGTCTCTAAAGGTCTTGGGAGCCAGCTGCTGCGGGGCCCACGTACAGCGGATGACGAGTTCTGTCTGACACAGATGTGTGTGAGCCGGCCACTTCAGAGACTTTCCAGGATCAGCTTGTGCTTGGGCTGAATGGTTTTCTGTTAGCCAGCAGTCATTGCCTTCTGGTGCCTTTGCATTTTCGTAAAATTTGGAAAATTTCTGGTAGGAAGAGAACTGAAGTTAAAATCCAGAAACTCGATTCTGTTTCACTCAGGTTCCCTTATACTGAGGCTGGATAGAAGCGTGTCCATGACTTGTTATAAACTGAGTTGTTGCGGCATTACAGCTTTTTGCTAAAGCTTGATTTTATTGAGCTAGAGGGAGTACTGATCTTTTGTGTTAGGGAAATGTTTTGCTTTGCTTGAGACAGGGTCTGATATTATAGTCAGGCATGCTAGCCTCAAATTTACTATGTAGACCAGGTTGGCTTCAAACTTGAATGTCCGTCCAGCTTTAGCCTTTCCAAGTGCTTAGATTAGATGTAAGCCACTATGCCTGGCTTACTGATGGTTTTCAAATCCCATATAGGCTTTTGCTTTCACTTGTAATAAAGATACTTTTATTCCTGGATTTTTTTTTTTTTTAATTTTTAACAGCAAATAAGTCTTTCAAAAACTAACTTTTATGAAGCTTAAGAATTCAACTCATTCTAATTTGATTCCGCTATGACTTCTAAAGGTAACACGTGCTTAGTTAGAAGAAAAGCACGGGTCCTAAGGAAACCCCTACAGGAGGGGGTGTCAGCTTTACAAGTGCTTATGTTTTTACAACAAGTACTGTGGGTTTTCTGAGGAAGTTCTACGTTTAACTACGGTAAAAGTAGTAGTTGAGTAGTAGTAATTACTTCAATTTAATAGAAAATAAGAGTAATTTTATACTTCTTTGGTTTGGGCTTTTTCTTTTAAATGTGGCTTTTCTACACATTATACAGCTTGATGTATAGAAATATATTCCTTTCAATTCTAGAAATATTCTTTTTGGGTTTTCAATACTTCTTTTTCTTTACTGCTCTTCTGTGTTATCTGTCCCATGAATTGTCATTTGACCCTTTCACTTTTTTATTTCCCATGACTTTTATGTTATGTCCTCTTTTACCCACATCACGGACTTCCCAGCGTCTTTAGCTAAGGGGCGTGGTGGAACAACTATCTCCTGACAGTGCTTTACCTTATTCTCTGGGCCTCTGTGCAGAATACCTATACCTCTCTAGGTGCTGCTCCGTTTCCTCTGTGGAATTTCTAGGCTCCAGTGGTATGTTTTCATAGCTTCCAAACATGTCAGTAGGGTGGCTTTTAAAATTGCTGCACTAACCCTTTCATTGTACATCAAGACCCAATTTAAGACAAATAGCAAGAGTGTATAGTCTAGAGCAATTTGATCAGACCTCATTTGCTGTTTTGAAATTCAGCCAGCAAATGAAAGGAACTATCACAAAAAGACTGCTGAGCACCCTGAGAAAGGAGAAAGGCATATTGTTAAGAGTATTGCAAAGGAGGGATTTTTGCTAATTTGCATGAACCACTTGTGTTTAACAAGGGAAAGAATTGTAGAGCTTCATTCCTCAGTGTGAACTGAGTGAGTTGCCGTAGCTGCTGCTGTGATATTTTACTGTTACTTCTGTTTTGTTTTGTTTTGTTTAACATTATGTGAAACGGTCTGTCATGCTTTGGTTTGCACCTGGAAATTAATCATTAATTTTATTAATCCTTTGGTTATTTTCATAACAACATTCAATTAATTCTCTTTTAAAACGTTCCCCTGTTCCAACTGAGAATTCCAGCAATTCTTGAGTTCCTTTCAAATTTTTTATAAATCTGATAGCATGTAATCCCATAATGAGCATATGTATGTTGAAAAGAGTCCATTTTTGCAATCTGAGTTTAGATGATTTTTATTTAACTGTTAATACTCTGTTTTATGTAAATATGAGCAATGGAGGTATTTTTTCAGAGAAGACTTAGTTTGAATTTTGGGAAACATCTATTATTTTAAGAGCATATAAAAGCAAATTTTAAAGCCATTCAGTTAAATGAAGTTTAAATGGGTAATTTTATTCTTAAAAATGAAAACTAATGTTTTTGTTAAAAGTAATTTGTATGTATATGTGCTTTTGTGTCACTGATTATATTAACACATCACTGCATGGTTCATCATGAAATTTTGTAGCCTGTGCAATTCTTAAACATGGATATACTTGCACTTTGTTTAGCTTTTTACTGGATCTAACTTTGCTCAGCAGAGATTTCCAAAAATGGAATTATTGGTGTTCAGTAAAGGAGTATTTTGGAATTTTAAGTCCAGTCTGACTGATTAATTGTTACTCAAGGACCATGTTAGGGTGTTATTGGCCTTAAAGAAAAATTAGTGTCTTTGCTCCACAATTAATTGCATAATTAACTCCTGAAATTTGTGTTGAATTTACCTTCATCATTGTCAAGATACTGTAATATCCTGGTATCAAGGAAATAAGGCATCAGCTTGTTCATCTGCTAAATAGATCTAACATTAAAAGATTAGAAGCTGAAAATGTATCTTTACCCTACCCCAGGTTTTCTTCATTATTCTGAGGTTCTACCAACAGTGAAGGATTGTGTGCATGCTCTACTGTCTGATTACATTTAAAGTGATCATGCTCATATCTTGTTTTGGTTTCATGTTGCATAGCATCTGGTGTCATGACTTCAAAGATTTTGTGTGTTTGCACGTAAAAGCCTGAACTTTCCATTCCTTAAGTAAGTTGCCTTCCTTTGTAATGCTTGAGTTTTTAAATAGCCAATCTTACTCTTGCATTCTTTATTTCTTCTCTTTTAGGCTTTGAGCTGTATTCCATGGTACCATCCATCTGTCCTCTGGAAACGCTTCACAATGCCCTGTTTTTAAAGCAAGTGGATGATTTTCTTGCTTCCATTGCTTCTCCATCAACTGAAGTTCTGCGCAAGGTCCCTGAAATGTGTATGAAATTTACCTTCATTATTATTGAATTATTGAACAATAGATATCCAAATATAACCCAAATTTGAAAAATGCAAACTCAATGTAATTGTGAATAGAATTTTAAGAGTGACAGAAGTAAGGGAATAATATTGGTAATTCCTCCGTGTGATGTGTGATATACCATTTTTCTTGATTCTAGCCTGAGATCTTTTTTCTAACAGTAAAAGTAAACAGTATTATATGTTTATTATATGGTGTTAATATCTTTTTCTTTAAAAGCTATACTTGTTGGAAAGCTTGGATCATATTTTATAATTTACAGAATGGTTTACATGAACTTACACATGTCCATCCCTCAACATTTTTGCTAATTACAGGCACTTGGTTGTTATTGTTGTTTTGTTTTATATTTGAGACAGGGTTTCTCTGTGTAACCCTCAAGTTACATAGGTTCTCCTCAAGCTCACATAGTCCTCCTTCCTCAGCGTCCCAATACCTGAGATTACAAGTGTGTGCCACTACATCCAACTTTAGAAAGAGCTTTCCTAAAAGGTGCCAAATTAGAACAACAGGCTTTTAAACTGTATTTTCCAAATTATATTCTGAAGAAGGTATCCATGTGCATTAAGAAAGAGAGTTCATACTAAGTAAGTTTTGGAATTGACTGTATCCTCCCTTGAACTTAGAGTTACATTAGTGTGTAAAAGGATAGAGTTTTATAAAGAATCCAGATTTCCCACAGCATTTTTTGTTATTAGGAAAACCAAACAAAACAACTTTTTGTTTTTAATACATTAAACATCAGGTGACACTTGTCATTTTTATCTCCATAATATTCCTATGTGTGTTGGAATTTCCAGTTTGGAAAGCATCAGTTTGAGAAGAGAGATATTTGAGTTACATCTTAGAAAACTACAGACTATCTCTGCATACCATTCTCTTCTCTAAGATGCCATAAGTATATTTTGTCTGAGAATAAAATGATATATTTTGGAGTTCTTAGAGTTAATTAATGCCACATTTTTATCTTGGTGTTTCTTGCCTTTCCTGGGCTATCACATAATATAACTTGAGGAATACTGGTGACAGTTTAATCTGACCTGATGGTGTTCCTTCATTTTAATTTTTATTTTTTATATTAATTTCAGTTTATTTGCTTTGTATCTCAACTGTAGCCCCCTCCTTCATTCCCTCCCAATCCCAACCTCCCTTCCTCATCTCCTCCTGCCCCTCTCTAAGTCCACTGATAGGGGAGGTCCACCTCCTCTTCCATCTGACCCTAGTTTATCAGGTCTCATCAGGACTGGCTGCAGTGTCCTCTGTGGCCTAACAAAGCTGCTCCTCCTTTGGGGGGTGGGGGAGGTCAAAGAGTCCACCACTGAGTTCATGTCAGAGACAGTCCCTGTTCCCCCTACTAGGGAAACCCACTTAGATGCTAAGCTGCCATGGGCTACATCTGAGGAGGATGTAGGTTATAGGATAAACATACTAAAATCTGTATACCTAAAGAAACTAAACAGGAAGGAGGTCGCAGGGTAAGATGATCAATCCTCACTTAGAAAGACATATGGGATGGACATTGGAAGTAGGAGAAAACAAGAAACAGGACAAGAGCCTACCATAGAGGGCCTCTGAAAGACTCTACCTGGCAGTGTATCAAAGCAGATGCAGAGACTCATAACCAAACATTCATTTCTCCAAGACAATGATACTTTGCCATTCCTTCTGCTTCTAGTAGCAGAGGCCAGCTGTCAATCAGCAGTGTTTGGTAATGAAGATGTTTCCAAACTATTTCCCTTTGGGGATGCCTCTGTGAAGTAGGCTTCAGTTTCAGATTGTTACATACGAATTGTCTAATTTTAAGCATCCATCGTTCTCTAAATAAAATAAGTTATAAATAAGGCAAAGTCGAAAGAATGAAGATAATCTTATTTATGTTATCCGTAACATAGTAAATAGACAGTGTTGTTCCCTCAGAATAGAGAATCCAAATAGATTCCATTAGAGTGTTCTGCTTTTGCCTTAGACTTCATGTTTCATTGATCACCTGGGCTGAGGCCTTAAACTCTTCAGTTAGAGTAAAAGAAATGAGCCTTGTAAGTGAAAAGGGCTTCAGGTAGTTCTTGATACTACTTAATTTTAGAAAGTTTGCAGTTCATGACTTAAAGGTTTATTCTGAAGAAAACTTTAATGTACTAATTAGGAAAAGATAATCTTAAGGTTTATCCTCCAGAACTCTTATTTTATGATTTTTTTTTTTTTTCTCTGTGTAGCCTTGGCTGTCCTAGACTCACTTTATAGACCTGGCTGGCCTTGAACTCATAGCAACCTGCCTGCTTCTTCCTCTCTTGAGTGCTGGAATTAAAGGCAGCCATGTACCACCATACCCAGCTTACTTCCTTTTTTTATAGTTAGTGAATGCAGTTCATTAGAGTGTATTATTGTGACATATTAATAAGGTGATTTTAGATCCCTATCCTGTTAAGACTTTTAGCTCTCTTAAAAATTTCATATTACTAGCTATGAAAGAGAACTAGATGGAAAAAGTATATTACATAATGTAATCCATAAGATTGACTAGACATTTGCAACAGTAGATCATTGGGCCTCAACCTAGATTTCCAAGGACCATTGGAAATTGATGAGTAAGAAAGAAGCTGAATATTTATCTTCTGTGACTTTTTCATCCAGTGGATCTGCTTTGAAACATTTAACGTGGTGGTCTACAAAGGTTTTCTGTTAAAGGAAAAACCCTAGTTAGTTTTGCTATCCCCACCACCAATTCTTAGACTACTAAACAAAATGTGGTGTCAGATATAAAGTAACTGAATCTCTTATCTTATAAATCAGTTGCACAATTTATACTTAGTATGAATACTGTGAATTTACATTATGTATATTTAATTCCCAGTAGGCACAGAACTGTATTGATTCTGTGGTGTTTATAGCATGGGGAACATTGCTAATCTGGTAATGTTCAAAGGCTTCATCAAGGACAAACTTCAAAGGTCGTAGCTAAAGATGACTAACAATAACATATTAGCAGTGAGCTCACTCATATAGGTGAGCTCCACTTATTTTCTGCATATTGGCCCATCTTCCTGTAGAACTTCATCACTAGTAATTAACTGTTTACTTGCTCTTTCTGTACCATTCAGTGCCTCCATGTTGAATAGAAAGCTGGGCTGTGGAAAAGGAGAACAGCTATAAATTCTCATTCATGAAGATAACTCTCTTAGCTGCTTATGATATAGTTAAGTTTTTTGGTTTGTTTGGTGGGTTGGTTGGTTGGTTTTGGTTTTGTTGAGAAAGTTTCTCTGTGTAGCTTTGGCCGACCTGGATTTGCTTTTGTAGATCAGGCTGGCCTTGAACTCAAAGCAGTCTACCTGCCTCTGCCTCTCTGAGTGCTAGGATAAAAGTCATGTATCACCATGCCCAGCTATTTTTTTTAACTATGGTATGTCAGTAGATAAAGATGCTTATAAATAAATAATCCCTTAAGTCTGTACTTGCTATTAGGATTTTTCTTTTTAAAATTACTCTTTTGTTATAGGCAATAAAACTATGCCATGACTCCATCCTGTTAAATACATCTTAGAGCAGGATACAAGTAATATGTTTCTCAATGGGTTTGGGGGACAAGCTTTCTTTTCTATATACTGTTGAAATAATATAGTTTCAGTATATTTATTTGAGTAAGACTGAGAGAATTTCCTTTCTATTATAAAGATGACTTGGCTGGATTTACTTTGTGAACCTTGTCTTTTCTATGACGTACTACTATTTGTACTAATTATTGGGCATATTTTCAGTTATTAAATTATATCATTAGAATTTTTGTAGCTGGGCCTTGTGGCACAGGCCTGTAAGCTCACCCTCTCAAGAGACTGAGGCAGGAGGATTACAAGTTCAATGCTAGCCTGAACAACACAGTGAATGTAAGGCTAACCTGAGCATCTTAGGTTGTCTCAGAATAAAAAGTAGAACGAAGACAGGTGGTAGGGTTAGTGTAATAGTATGTCTGTAGCATGCGTGAGTTCAACCCTGGGTTCAACTCCCAGTATTTTAAAAAAGAGGTTTTGTAGTGCTAAGATAGACTTTATAGGAAGTTATTTCTTTTCAGCCTCTGTGGCCTCGCGTTCCAGTCCAGGAATGCGAAGAAAAGTCTCCTTAAATACATACACACCTACAAAGATTCTCCCAACACCACCAGCTACCTTAAAGAGCACCAAAGCAAGCAACAAAGCAGGTAAGAGGTGTGTCTGAGTCTGCGATGCCTTATAAACAGCAGAGATAATAGGGCATCTCCTCTTCAGTCATGGGAAGTCCTAACTCCTGCTTCCCATAGTGTGCTAACTAAGTCTGTTGTCATGACTCACTTAGACACATCTTTCTGTGTAATCTCCTTTTTTTCTCTAGCGTTCATGTTTTCCACTATATGTATTAATAAAATATATTTTCTGTTCTTCTTATTTTTATTTTTTCAAACCTTCTGTCTTGCTCCTTTGGGCTTAGGTATTATTTTATGTTTAAAAAAAAAAATCTGTTACCCAGAGTTTTTATATTCTACTTGTCATCTGGTGATGTGACTCCCAAGTTCAGCTCTTTAGTCAGCACTTTAGTTTTTATCTTCTTGTCCAAATAACTGTGTATTGATCCTTCACCCAAGGCTACCAAAGAGCCACTACATCTTCATATTGTCCCCTGTCTCCAGCTCTGCTTTGTGGTTGAATGATGTTTCTCCTTATGCTTATCCCAGACAGGGCCTCTCACCCTGTTCATTTTGTTCTCACGCTTCATCTTGTTTGCCTAAGAAAAAACCTTATAACTCTGTGCTTTCACTATAAAAACTCATGGCAGAGATTCTTGTCAATTTGTTAATGTTTTCAGATTTGGTGTCAGATGGACATATATATATATATATATATATATATATATATATATATATATATATATATATCGTCTCTGTAACTTGTTAGTTACGTTACTTGACTGACATTAATCCTCAGTTGACAGTAAGAAAATCTGGGTAAAGAGTCTTCTATAGAATTGTCAGAGGTGAATATACATGTGTAAAGTATGTGGCTACATTGTAAGCATTCTCTGAATGGTAGTTTTATTTATTAATCTTTTGCTGTAGCTAACCTCCATTTCTGCCAGATAAATCCCCTTGGCACTCTTGCCTTATGAATCAGTCAGTATTTTAAGTAGATTTGAACCTTATACCATCAAGTAAGGCTAAAAGCTATAGTGTTCAAAACTGCACAGTTGTCTTAAAATAATTTTGATGTATTTTTTTGTTTTTGTTTTAAAATTTTTATTTATTTATTAGTTATTACAATTTATTCAATTTGTATCTCGGCTGTGGCCCCCTCCCTGGTTTCCTCCCAGTCTCACCCTCCCTCTTCTCCCCCCCAAACCCCTCCTCTAGTCCACTGATAGGGGAGGTCCTCTTCCCCTTCCATCTGACCCTAGCCTATCAGGACTGGCTGCATCATCTTCCTCTGTGGCCTGGCAAGGCTGTACCCCCTAGGGGGAGGTGATCAGAGAGCCTGCTACTGAGTTCATGTCAGAGACAGCCCCTGCTCCCCTCACTAGGGAACCTACTTGGAGACTGAGCTGCCCATGGGCTACATCTGAGCAGGGGTCTAAGTCCTCTCCATGCATGGGCCTTGGTTGGAGCATTGGTCTCTGCAGGCCTCCTGGGCTCAGAGTTTTTGGCTCTGTTGGTCTCCAGTCTTTCTATTCCCCCCTTCTTTCATAAGATTCCCTGCACTCTGCCCAGATTTTGGCTAAGAGTCTCAGTATCTGCTTTGATACCCTCATGAGCAGAGTCTTTCAGAAGCCCTCTGTGGTAGGCTCCTGTCCCTAAATTTTGATGCATTTCATATACAGTACAAAACTGGCATTTGTACAATTCCTTTTTCTAAGAAATTAGTGCTGTTTTTATGTCCCTGGCAATAAAGGAAATAGCAGAAGAGGTATGACTTGGGTCCCTGATAGCTAGTAATCAGGGACCAAAGCTTTGAATGCTCTTGGGATTGCAGGACACATTGCTGTTCTTGACATATTAATGATCCTATAGATGCATGGGTAGCAAAGTTAAAATGGTATTGATGTGTTATAATTGGCTTTTAAAATGCTACTTGTTCATAATATGGGGTACACAAACCAAAATAGCCACAGGAATGACGTGGACGCTACCCAAGTACATGGATTTCTGTGTCACGTATACCAAGGCATTGGTCTGTAGTTTTGTGCTCAGAATGTGCTTTTCAGGATTAGTGTTAGAATGGAGGTATTTTCATAAAGGATCTGAAAAGTATTTCTCCTTTTGTGTTTTCTGAATATGTTTTATAAGGTTATAATTTCCACCTTAAGTCCTTGGTAAAATTAATTTTACGTCTCATTTTATGGCAGGTTTGATGACTCACATTTGTCAGGAAATTTACTCAATTGTCTTAAGATGTTAGCTTTGCTCTTTCTTCATAACCATTTTAATGTATGAGACACTAGTAGTTGTATTCTGCCTTTTTCGTTTGCACTTAATAAAGATTCATCAATTCTTGGCCTTTTGAAAAGACTGTCTTCTGCTTGTTAGTCTGCTTGCTTTATCTTGAATGACCTCTCCTTGGTTTTCATTGAGCCTCAGTGTAGTTATGGATAGGCCTTCTTTATTTCTTTTCCTTATACTTACTTTATTCTTTGTTGTTTTATTTTGAATTGATTCAATAATTTGTAGAATTTCACCTAAATGTGTGTGCTGCTTTTTGTTGTATTTTTGTAGTATTCTTTTATTGATTGCTCTAAATACATGTTCTTAGCATCGCGTGGTCTACTTTTGTATCATCTAAAATAGTAAGGCGGAAGCTTTTAGCTTCCTTTACCTTTTTTTTTTACCTTTACTTCATCCTTTCTACAGAGTTATCATGTCTGAGTGTTACTCCCATGTGCAGTACAAACAATAAAATTCAGTGCTGTGCTAGGTCCCTTTAAAAGTATGTTTATTTTAAAGAAATGAAGTGGGGAGCGGGATAAGGGCCTGTACTTGTACTCAACTGTTATTTTCTAATGTTTGTCATGTTTTCATTGAAGTCTGTATTTTTGTCTGGTTTCATTTGCCTTAAGCCTAAAACGTTTTACTGTTTCTTATACTATTGGTCTATTGACAGCGTAGTCATTTTATCATGAAAAAAGAATGTCTGACCGTTCTTACAGAGTAATTTTGCTATCAAATTCTGGATAGAAAGCATTCTTTTCTTGATAGTCCAAATGATGTCTCACTCTCTTCTGGTTCCCGCTGTTTCTATAAGTTCTAGCTGATTTGAAATGTCCCATGCGTACAACTTTCAGTTTTCTCTGCCTGAGTCAGTGTTTTGTCTGCGTCTGTGATTTTCAGCAGTTTGATCGTGGCTGCCTCTGTTCTTCATCTTCCCTCTTCTTTTTCCTTTGTATTCATGTGGTAATCCTTACTGCTTTTCTGTTTGCTTCATTTGGCTGTTAAATCCAACAAGTTTATTTCAGTTATTTTAGCTTTTTTAATTTGAAGCATTCTATTTTATTCTTTTTAGTGTCTCTTTTGAGACAAGATTTTATTCATTGTGAACATAATGATTTATACTTTAAAAATTGTTTTAATTATTCATGTCTTGATTAGTCTGTCAGTTTTCTCCTTTATACAAAAGGTATTTTTCTGTTTTCTGCTATATTAAATATTTATAATACTATATATTAATCTTAGTATATTAAGTACCTTTTAAATTATATCCTAGACATGATACATGATATGTTATGTGGAACCTTTGGATTCTGGTATTTCAGCTATATTTCTCCAAAGAATATTGCTTTATTTTTAAAGTAAAAAGTTAAATTTGCTGACATCAGATTGTAAAATTATGTCCCTTGAAGCATTTGACAGCTCGCAAACCCAATTCTATCCTTGTAGCCTGTGCTGCCTGAGGTTTTCTGTGAATGCAATAGATTAATCACAGTTCATGTGTGAATTACAGTCTTGCCCTTTCGGTCAGCTATAGTTGTCCCAATACTTGTCATCTGTTTCTTCATACTAGGGAAGGCTAGCTTTTATGTTGGAGATTTAGCCACATTCTGTGGTGGACATTGAGAGCAGGTCTCAGCTCAAAGCTATTGAAAGGAGTGGTGGAGTGTCACCTGTGCTGCTCTCACCTTAGACTTGATTGTCCTCTAGCAGTTGCCTAATTCTGTCACTTTCTGCTACCTTTATACACGTTGTTAAGGTTGTCCTTTCTGTCTGTGGCCGAGTGTATGCAGCTCAGATGAAGATAGGTCAGCCTAACAAGGATGTCCCTGTATGGTGAAAGGGTAACTGCACGTAGAGTAGCTCTTTGACTAGGCCTGGCTTTGATGTTGGCACAAACATAGACAGTACATTCAGAGTCAAGAAAGAATGCTTCTGGCCTTCCAGCCTTCCAACTTTGCATAGTAATGAGATGGAAGACATAAGAGGCTATGGTACCTATAGATTAAATGACATTCAGTTTTCAGCGTGCTTAGTTTCTATTTCCTGTCAGATATAAGTAGAGACAGTTTTAATGGGAAGTTGGATTTCTATATCAGGAGCTAAGGGAAAAGGTCTGAATGGATTATACTTACAATGATGAAAATGAACGTTTGCCATTGAAGAATATAGAGTGAACTAAAAAGTTGGTTTTGTGAACACAGTCCATTATCATTACTTTTTGTGTTGACTTCTAAAAAGTTAAAATGTTATATTGAATGCTTATACTGTTTTATTATAATTATAGCAAAACAGCCCCATCACTCACCAGGTTCCTTTAACCTTGATGATGTGTAAATCCTAACGGCACTGTTTCTCTCTTTGGCTGGCACAGCAGTCACTGCTCTGTCTCCGGCAGTGGCTTCTCATGCCTCAACTCGGAAGAAGAGCTTACCTGGAAAAACTGAGGGACATGAACACAAGAAAGGCACTGGGAAGAAAAGATGAATTCACGCCAGAACCAGAAGTTCCAGTACTTAGAAAGGGACCTGTTGCTGAGTGAAAGATGTGTAAGAAACCTTGACTGAAGCTGCTCAGAGCCAGTGATCCATGTATTACCATGCTTTACTTTGTACATTTGTATATTTCTTTAAACTCCTTGAAAGCTAGAGCACCCTCTGTTTTTATTCAGACAAGGAGCTTTGGCATGATTTAGAAATGTTCAAAATAATGTCTGTCCACTTTATGTGTATAACAGAATTCATGACAACTGCTGTAGCTGTCACTGTGATGATTACCATGTGCCTGTTGCAAAGACAAAGGACCCAGAAATCCGGCTGACTGGCACCAAAGTGTACTCTCACCAGGTGCCTCTGCACACACTTGCGTTTCTACAGGGTTGTGCTTAGTAAGACTGGGCGGGCAAGATCACATGTGGATGACTTTAATTTAAAGTACCTTTCCAAAGAGATCTCATTGACCATTACATTGGAATTTTTGTTATTGTTACAGTATCATATGCTGCAATATTTATTAACTGTATTATATAAAACATGAATTATTTTTTTCAATTTGTGCTTTAACTTTTTTATTGTGAATTATTTAAAATATTACAAATACAGGTGGGAGAACTATACCTTTATACACATAAATTTACAAATTATTTCGTAGAAAATATTTTCTTTGTACATTTCTTTACCATAAAGGGTACTTGGTTCATCAAGAAAAAATTTGTTTTCTGTATTAAAAAGATAGGTATTTTTAGAGTTTCTTTATGAACTGTAACTGATAAATTTGTAAATCTTATACTTGATTATGAGAGTTTTTCTTGAGACCTCTGGACTCAGATCTAAAATGGGAGTTGTCAATGTTAAACTAAATTCTTCAGTTAATAACTGTCATCTATAGTGTGTTTCTTGTGTTTTCGTTCTTATGTCCAATGTATTTGTTGATTTCACCAAGAAAACTCAAAGACTGAACATTTGTAGTAAGTAAATACTGTTTACAAATGATGAGATTTGGAAGAAAGATTGAGGTGACTGTTGTAATTTCATCTATTTTTTTTTCTTTTAGAAAAAAAGGGAAAGAAATTATTATCTTGGTGCTTTTATCCCTTGATGCACAAATAATTGTGTGAAACAGTTGATATTATTTACAAACTAAACAGTGCAGTAAAAATCCCAAGGATTAGATGCGATATGATTTAAAGTAGTAAGCTGTACCTTCAAGCTTATGTTTAGAGCAACTACTAGACCCTTAAAGTATAAATACAGCTATTGTAAGTCTTCAAAAGAGACTTCAAACCTTAAATCATCTTATGAACTGACTTCTAGAGAATAGGCATATTATCTTGGTTGTTTAAAAAGGGATGAAATACAAAAGTTACAAATATATACAGTTAAATAAGTTCATATACTTCACTTGAATGTAAATGGATTATATGGTGATATCTTGTAAACAATTGAATGTATATAAGTTTTCTGTATGTGAATACATGATTAATGTGCTCATTATGGGTGGGGGCTGAGGATACTATTATTTTTTAAGTGGAATGAATAAAATTCTTTCTAGAATAAGAGTGACCTGAACGTAATATGCTTTATTTGCTTTATTTCTTTTGTCTCAAAGTAGAAAGTCCCTAGTAATATTTTATATTAAATAATGTTTACTAAAATTTACTAATCAAACACAAAGCAGTTTATTGTCTTCCACCTTAGAAAGTATGCTAATATTCATTTTCCCAGTATTATTCAGTAATTGAAGAATTGTCAAGTCACCCTGAGATGTTAGTCTTCAAAATGTATCATTCTTTGCTTCACCCCTAGGAACCCTATATCACAAATCTAATAGCCCTTAAAGTCTCCTGTTGGCAAACCCTACTGACCTGCTTTTAATGAGGTACATAGTCCATTCTGAACTACTAACAAATATGAGAGGGCATCACAGCAATCTTGTATTAAAAAGTATGCTGAATGTTTTAAGTCTTGAACAGGAAATAGAGACAGAAAAGAAATGATAACATGACAGAAGCATATGGTGTTATTTTTGGTCTTTATGCAGAGCTGAAATGCAATAGATGACAGCTATAAAGAAAAGTTTAAGTTTCTTGAGGAATCTGATTTAAAACTCATCAGCTGTTGGGAGACATTAACTAGACCTGAGGCATATACAGAAAGAAGTGGCAGGGAGGGGGCAGGGTAAATAACAGGAATGATGTTTGAAAAAGCCATATGACCTAGTTAGGGGAACAGGGACTATCTCTGACATGAACTCAATGCCAGGCTCTTTGATCACCTTCCCCTGGAAGGTGCAGCATTGCCAGGCCACAGAGGAAGATGATGCTGCCAGTCCTGATGAGACCTGATAGGCTAGGGTGGAATAGTAGGGGAGGAGGACCTCCCCTTTCAGTGGACTAGGGGTGGGGCATAGGGGGAGAAAAGAGAAGGTGGGTGGGACTGTGAGGAGATGGATTGGGCTACAGCTGGGATACAAAGTGAATAAATTGTAATAAATAATAAATAAAAATTATAAAAAGGCCTTAGGAAGATATTTTGTTTACTTAAGGGTACAGGGAATCATATGAAAGAAGGGACGTTAGTATGATGGGGAAAGGATAGGAGCTCCACAAGGACCAAATATATCTGGGCACAGGGTCTTTTCTGAGACTGACATTCAACCAAGGTCCATGTATGGATATAACCTAGAACCTCTACTCAGATGTAGCCAGCCTGTGGTAGCTCAGTAACCAATTCGTTTCCCATAGTGAGGGGAACAAGGACTATTTCTAACAGGAACTCAATGACTGGCTCTTTGGCCTCCCCACCCCCCAAGGGAGGAGCAGTCCTGTTAGGCCACAGAGGAGAGCTTTGCAGCCAGTCCTGAAGATACCTGATAAAACAGGATCAGATGAATGGGGAGGAGGTCCCCCCCCCATCAGTGGACTTGGAAAGGGGCACAGTGGAGATGAGGGAGGGAGGGTGGGATTGGGAGGGAATGAGGGAGCCGGACACGGCTGGGATACAGAGTTAATAAAATGTAACTGATAAGAAAAAAATAAAATTAAAAAAAAAGAGTTCTATATATATATATATATATATATTGTAAACATATACACACATATATGATAACTAAAATGGAGTTATGCCATATGCCTCCTGAGGTGATAATACTCTCTCCCAAAGCCATAGACTATCTAACAAAAATCCCAGTTTCAGGAATGGAAACTTCTCAGGTTGTTGGTCAAAGGAGACCGAGAGACTCCCAAACAATACAGGATGTTGCTATTGCCCTTGGTTGTCCCCCAGAATCTGTGGAGCCTATTGCTGAAGACACCATACAGTTAGACACAGGACTTAAAGGACTACCCTTGGGATCTAGAGATAATAGTATCCAAAGGTCCTGTGCAAGCTGCCAAGATAGAAGATAGGTTAATCCTACCCAGCTATAAAGGAGTAGCACTTTTTGTCTTGGGAGTGTCTAATAGCTGTGTAAATTGGACTTGAGGTCAACTCACTGGGAGAGAAATCTTGCCTAGCGCTATGAACCAAGCTAACTACCTGTGACTACATGGGTCCTAGAAGATAACCTACTACTGCCACTTTCCTAAACAAGTATAATTTCTAACTATATTCTAAGTATCTTTTTTCCAACACATAAGTATAGCTCTCTTATCAGAAAAATCTTTTTGTAGTAGGTGGAGATTGTTACAGAAAGCTATAGCTGGTCATAATGCAGAGAACAGCTGACTGTGGAGTGCCAGGTGCCAATTAGTAAACCTATAATGCAACCCCTACACACCTAAAGTTCAGGGGAAGTTGCAGAAGAGAGGGTGGACACATTTTAAGGGCCAGAAAACCAGATGTCCACTTCTAGATAGTATGTTCTAGACACGACATGAAATCTCAGCAATAGGGCTGCCTAAACAAGATTTGAATGACAGTATCAGTTGACATTCCAGCATGGATGGGGAGATCTCACAAGGCCCCACCTCCAGAAGAGCTACAGGGAATCAGTGGGTACTTGGAGAGAGAATAAGTCTTTTCCAGGGAAGAGCCTCCTTATCCAGTCCTAAGTGGTCAGCCCTTAACACACACACACACACACACACACACACACACACACACACACACACATGCAATACTAACTGGACTTAGCAAGTTTGATGGAAGGATAGATGGACAATAATAAGAGGTTATGGGTTTAAAGCAATGGGAAGGGGAAGAGGTAGAAATATAAGCACAGTGTTCATGTATAAATTTATTTTTTAATTAAAAAATTCATTAGCTAAAGGAAAAGTCTTTGATTAAGGCCATCCAGATTTCTCCCCAGTCTCTGTTGTCCCTGACTCACATGCCTACTGTTAATGTAGTTTCATGCTAGAATTGAGCCAAGATTTCACTTGTTGGATGTTCATGCTGTTAGCATGTTCTCGGTCTGCCCTGTGAACTCATCAGGCTACTTCACAGATGGAGGTTATAAACACCACTTTGCTTTCCCCATATTGGCTGCACAATGTAGAGTACCTTGTTCCTTTTCTGAGGGACTCCTATTGGAATAGCCCAGTTGCAGCCCCTCTCTGTCTCTCATGTTGCCATACACACTGAGATTTCTGCTTCTCAAAAGAGACCAAGCAGAGTTATAGAACTTTTTTATAGAACTCACAGCACCAAAATACTACCATACAATGTTCCATCATATTTATATTAACTGTTATGGACGATCCAATTTCTCTCTTTAGAATATAGGAAGCTATAAAACATATTACCTACTGTATACTATATATTTTAATGAATTATTGTTCTTTCTTTACATGTATTATTGAGATTCACTAGCTTTTTTTCCTTTCACCTTTGTACTATGTCATGGATAGAAAAAGCAAAAGTAAAATCTCCACTTAGGAATTTCACTCCATCCTTTTTTAATCTCTGGTTTTGCCTTACTCTTTCTTTGTGTCTGTTTACCAACACATACAAATTATTTATAGCCAGTGTAAATTTTATTTTTATCTTAACATTTTTACCATATTCATACTTTTTACGCTAAATAGTTATGTGTTGAGGGTATGGCCCATGTTTTATTTTGGTTTGTATTCATGTTTCTTATTAGTTGTGTTTCTATTAGGTGTTTGAATATAATTTACAATGGGCTCTGCTTTACAACTAATGTTTAGATCTCTTACAAGAAGTTTGTGTAGTCCAGGTATCTGTAATATAGCTTTGGAGGCAATCCATTCTGGTATTATTGCCTTTAAATATCTCACCTTCCTGTAGTGATAATTTTCATTGTGGACATGAAAATACCAATTAAAACTGGCTTAAGCTGTTAGAACAGTTATTGTACATTTCTTAAGGTCTAAAGGAAAAGTTGGCTTCCAGCTACCCTGCTAAATGCAATAATGTTACCAGTGACTTCTGTTGTCTTGTTCTGTCATTGACGTGACACAAACTTGATCTCAATGGTGTTTTACCTCGTGCTCATGAGATGGCTTTTAATGGCAGCCAGAGCTACTTGCTTTCTTGTTCATAACATCCCAGCAAAAAAATGAAGGATATTCTTCTCCAGTGATGAAATCGTCATTCACTTAGGATAGTTAGAACAACATGGTTGACCATCTGTCTGTCCACCCCCATGCTAATATCATTCATGGAAACTTCCATGAGCCTGGAGCTAGTGACCAGGTCGGGTCCACCAGAATCCTCAGCACCTGACATTTTGAACAAGATAATTGATCTGTGTTTCAAGATATTGAGCAGCATCTGTAAGAAACTGAGATGTCATGGTAGTCATTTAAGACAAGGAGCCAAAATAAAAGAGTTACAAGAGTCCCTTAGGCTCCTCCTGTCCCTCCTGCACACAGGCATGAGGAGTGATGATGTGCAATCAGGCAGCAGAAATGAACTGATATGCAATGAACAATGTCCTACAAAGTAGGGACATGGAAAGTGGGGGAGTGGGAAAAAACAGCCCGAGTGGAGAAAAACTCCGTCAAGGCCTTGAAGTAGACTGAGCTGGCAAGCAGCTTGGTGTGTAGACATGACCATCCCAGAGGATACTTACTCTTTGACTACAACTCTGCAGAGACTGCTGTGCTCTGAGCTTCAGCATTCCCCCTAGAGGTCTATTGTACCAGGACTAATTCCTTGTGAGTAAGCCTGCAAGATCACATAGGCGTAGGAGCTGGAGCTGACTCCTCACCCTAATCTGTACTCCACATGCCAGTAGCATCCTCAAAACTGTCTGTCAAAAGGATATACACATGTTTATCAAATGTACCCTAGGTAGAAATATCTGATACAGCACATATGGCCCTGTATGAGAGAAAATAGCATAATCCAAGTAATATCTGATAGGAATGGAAGGAAATACCAGCAGTGACTCTACACACCATGTGTGCACGTTTGCTACTAACGGCTGTCATCTTAACCGTAAACTGAGTCACACAAGTAGTCTGCCTGTCGCCTGTTGCCTTGCTGCTGTGAGCAGCATCCGATCGGTGTGCCTGCAGTCTTACTCTATTGCAGTTTTAGTTTGTTGTCTTAGTCACTAGCTGCTTCTGCTACTGACCTCTGTGCCTACACATAAGCTCGTA